TTTTAATTTTAAATTTAAAAATAATAATTTTTTAATAAATATATTGTGTAATATGTTAAAGTAGAATATGTTTCAATTAGTGTCCTAATGAAAATAGTTTTACAATCTAAAATTTTCATTAAAAAAGAATCGCACCAATATGTATGTGCCATTATGAAGACCTAAATATATATATATATATATTCACCATATTGTCCTCATTCTTGTGGCAGGGAATGCTGATACTACTGCTTGCTCCATCCCAGATAAATGGAGTCTTTTACTTGGCACTGGCACTATTATCAGTGAAGAAATCAGGACTAGCGTATGTAGAAGAGTTCGTACGTAAGCCTGCAGTTGGTGGCTTGGAACATTCCATGTACGAAAAGAAAAAACCAAATATTGCTCCAATAAATGCTTGTTGGTATATTGGATGGACTGTGGGAGCCATTACAGGCCTTGTGTTGACATCAAACTTTTCTTCAAAGCAAATGCTCATGATTTCAGCAATTGTTGGGGCAATTGGTTGCATATTTTTCTGTTCTTACAGCATATGTTATAAGGTATCTTTGGGACATCATCAAGAGTATAAGCATGAATTGAAGCATGAGATAAGGGCGCTCCTAAAATTGTTCCCTAAATTGCTCCCTCTGTGGGCACCTTTTCTTATCTATTATATGGTTGATGCAGCAGGTAGAACCTTCTTCATAGAACAAGGGAAAGTGTCGGGCCATGGGGGAGCTTGTTTGTATATGCTCCAGAAGATTGTTGGCTTCATGGCTTCGGCTTTGATAAATCTTGGCATCACAAAGTTTTCGAGTAAGAGAAACCAGCCTAAATGGGTTGCTACAGTCGCAAAAATTACTTGCGGGATGTTCATTTGTTTTTTGATCTGCCTCTTGAGTTGGCATGTTGAGGCTAGCAGATTGCAATCAATCAAAAACAATCAAGATCCCAAAATCATTCTACATTTTGCGATGTTTTTACAGTTTATCCTGTTAGAGACCATGAACAAAATGGTTGGAAAAATGCTGGGAAAGTTCTTCTGTGACTATGTAGCAGATGAATCCATGCATCATTTGGAATTCACATTCAATAGCTTTGTGGAGGGAATGGGAAGATTGTTGGGTGTGGCATGCATTCTCGTTTTTCGAAATTGGATTGGTGACACCATCAACGAAAGCCATCTTGACAAATACTATCGAGCACTGACATTTATCAGCTTATGTGCCTGTGTTATATTCATTATTCTATCCTATACCTGTTATTGGAAAAAAGAGACAGAGGATCATGCCTCTCTTGCTACGAAGATAGAAGAAGTCGGACTAACTTCGGAACCTCAATCTTTCTCTCTGCACTCATCACCGCAATGGTCTGCTCAGTTCTCAGCTGATGAATCCATGTTCGCATGTTCAGAACAAACATCAGTACCCTCAAACTTGGGCAGTGCTAGACCCTCCACTAATAACAAGTGGGTAAAATCCTTGACCTGTCCAAACCGGCCTCCACCTGCAGAAGAAGTCTCCAATGATTATCGGCGCTCCCGTAGTGCCCCGAATAATCTACGCTACCGTGCATCTGCGAAAGCTTCCTCTCAACACTCTGAGGGTCGTTTAGAGATAAATTAAGTTAATAATTGTTATTTTTTATAATTAAAAATATTTAATTTGTTGAATTAAGATTTGGTGGTTGATAGTTATTTTTAAAATGTGAAAGTGAATATCTATTTAATGATATTTAAAAATTAATTTTTTTTGATAGTGTACATATTAATATTGTATGTGAGGGTAGTCTAGTCTTTACACAAATACATGTATATATATATACTGTAACCCTATTTCAGAATCAATGAGAATGACTATTGTCTTCATGGTATCAGAGCTAGGGTTCGGCATCAAACTGTGTTTCTAGATTTCTTCCTCTGCTTCAATTCTTTTTCTCCAGTGTCATGGATACTAATCCTGTTCTTTCTAGTACTTCTCCCATTCCTATTTCGTCGAGTCCTCCTATTTCTATTTCTCCTAGTACTCCTACTTTCCCACTCAGATCTCTTCCTTCTGTTACCAGTCCTGCCGTCTCCACCATGCCTTCCTCTATAAGTTCTCATCCAGTTTTTACTATTTCAAATATTAAAAACTTTGTTCCGGAAACCTTGAACCATGACAATTTTGTTATTTGG